GGGTCAAGCACTTATCATAGACTTAGTTTTATTTGAAACTGAGTATCAAAGGGATAAATATCAATTATTCAGTGGAGGACTGTGATTCAAAAAATAAAAAAAATAATTGTCTAGAGGCCATTTTCAATGACCATTCGAAGTGGGTGATTGTAGGAAAAGACAGGAAAAAGAAGGCTATTTCGAAGGGGTGTTGGAAGATTCCATGCAACTTGGTACTATATTTCAAATATTCACTCGATTTTATTGGACTAAAGTAGAGCTGTCAAATGAGCCCCTTTAATAAGATTTGGCCCTAACCCATGTGGGTTGGGGCCAAAAAAGCCCACAGGGCCAAAAAAATTCTTTATTAAAAAAGCCCACAGGGCTAAAAACCCCTAAAGCCCTATAGGCCAGGGCCAGCCCATGGGCTTTCCTTTTTACAAAATTTAACGTCTAGAAACATAATATCATCATACAAGTAATCACAAATCATATGTATTTTTTATCCAGCTCTCATTTTATCTTTGTTAGTAATAACTTATAACCATAATTGATTCATGTATAATTATATTTTTTTACCAATAAAATTAATTTTCTACTTCATAACTGTTTCTATATTAATTAGTTTAATAATAATGCTTTTATACAATTATTTCTTAATTTTCAAATTTTGTTTTGATAATTTTTCATCTTAATTTTGGTTTCTTAATTTTGGTTTGTAAATTTGACGGTTCAGAGATATCCACATAAAATAGGTTTAAAAGTTAAAAAATTTAATTTAATATATAAAATTTTGATGAACTAACGAATTTATTTATAGATGGTAATCTATTTTGTCACTAGTTTAAATCAATATCATTCGACTAAGATTTGTGATCAAAATTACATTATTTTTAATTGGTGTGAGCATGTTAAAATTTTGACTTAATAACTTTTTAACTTTTTTAATTTTCCAAATTTAATAAAATTAATATTTATTATTTACAAAGTTATATAATTCTTTTAAAAAAAAATTTATGAAACGTATTATTTAGTCATTTACATCAATTTATATATTTTTATGTCTTTTTCATATATTTTATATTATATTCATTTGTCTTTTTTATTAGTTTCTTATTAAGAGACATTGATGTAATTTATTTATTATTATAATTTTTATTTATTTTATATGTTAATAATTAAATACAATAATAATTTTAATTTTAGTATTATAAATTATAACATTATATTTATTTAAAAATATTGTATCTATTATAATAATTATTTTTTATTACAATCGGCTCAATTATGATAAATAATTCAATAAAAATGATATTTGTTGGATAAAGATAAGTATGATTTTAAAATATTAATTTAATCTAAAAGGTTAGAAAAAAAATATGATTTTATAACCACTAGGATTACATCTAGATCTTGTATACTAACATATATGATATTTATAAGAATTTTGCCTAACAAGGATTTTCACTAAAAAGTTAGTTTTTTTATTACGTGAAATTAATTTTAAACTTTACAAAGTTTGTGGTTTAATTTTTTAATGTATATATATCTATACAAAACATTCAACAAAAGAATTTTATATGACAAACTATAAAAAATAAAAATTTTACACCGATATTAAAAATTTATCCAATCAGTAGATTTGAATTTAAAATCTATCCATAATTAATATTTCAAATATTTATATAGATATTAGAATTCGATTATTGAAAAATCGAATTTTCAACTGTGTTACTTTTATAATTTATTTTTTGAATTTTTTTTCATTTTCTTTTAAATAAAAATAATAATAAAAATTTTCTTTTTTAACTTTCCAAAATAATAAAATTATATATTTAAAATATACTTATAATTAAAAAATTATTTTAAATAAGTTTTTATAAAATCAATATTTATACATTTATATTTAATTAAAAAGATATTAAATATCATGTAAATTTTGAAAATTATTGAACTTGTAAAGTAAATAAAAGAAATAACTAAAAAAACATTAAAAGTGAATTAATTTAGTTTGGGGGCTAGCCCCATCATAACCCTACCCCAGCCCACTTTATGTGGGGCTTTAGGGGTTGGGGCTTTTAAAAAGCCCCCTATTAAGGGGGCTAGAAAATTGGGGCTTGATTTTAGAAGGGGTTAGGGTCAACCCATGGGCCAGGGGCTCAAATGACACCTCTAGACTAAAGTAGCACACTCTTTGGATTCTTTAGCATTTGGTGTTCATACTGAATCGAAGATTTATATACTCTAAAAGGAAGTTTGGGAAGAAAGAATGTAATAGAAAATAATTTTTAGTAATAATTTATTATTGCTCTTAGCTAACGATCGAGGTTTTGAAAAATAAATATCTGACATATAATAAAATCAAATTACTTCACCTTTTAAAATTTTTTCTTTGTTAAGTTCATAGAGAATATTATAAAATCAAATCTATTTATGTAGACTAAACCATAAATGTCAAGTTCGATGATGTTTCTCAGAATGTTAGGAGACTATCAAATCTTGAAAATGGCTTTGTAGATTTGTAGATTGTTAAGTGAAATGAAGAGAGAGAGCAAGATCCATATGTTCATGAATGGATTAGGTGAAAGCGAGACACTAGACGAAGATGCCTAAGAGACGATGGACCATTTAAACCACCTCACTCAAGTCACACCATCTAAATGACAATATGTTTTAATATCACCCATAAGAACAAATCCTGGGAGAGAAAATATGGGGTTAGTATCTTGCTTAAAAAATAAGCTACAATGACCATCATATCTATATTGAGCCCAACAATATAAAAGATTTAATCTTGAAGGGATAACTTAATCAATTTACCACAAAAATGATATTAGGAATTTGGTATACCACCTCTGGGAACAAGCTGAAAGAAGACGGTAAAGCTATGATCAATAGCGCATGGTTGCAATCATCGAGAATGTACAGACTTTATAAAATCTTTTTTGATGGAAACCATCCATTGATAACGCAGTTGGCTAAAAATAGAAGAAGATGAAGTGTCATTGAGGAAGACTTCACTTTAAGATTGTAATATTAGGATTTTCTTTCTTCTTCTTAGTCTTGTATAAATTGTATAGGTATAAAATTTCTTTGTATTTTTGTAGGATCAAATTGTATAGGGAGGTTTAACACACATACATTAATAAAATATTGTTTGCTTTGGATCGTGTCCTTACGGATTTGTTTTTGATATATCACTCAAAAAGACATCTTACTAAGGAATGTATCTATCTTATGTGTATATAAACTCATGTTCATCTCTTGTTTTATTTTAGATTGAGACTTTGTTTGTATCTTAACAATCCTCCCATCAAACAAATGACTATGGTTCTCCACCTCTCCTACAGCAGAAGTATTTTCTTATCCGAGTACACTACAGACCCATGGTCATGTCACTGAGCATTTCTTATTCTTCATCTCCCATGATTCATCTGGCTATCTTCTACTGGCCACCTGTCAGGGCTTCACCTTATCATGGAGAGACGTACTCGTTTGAGCCCGATCACCAGACCTGAACCATCGACTCTGATGTTAATTTCTCTCTCCCACATCAACCTATTACCCAACAAAATATTAAGGGGAAAACTTGTTCTTTTTTTTCCTTAACGCGACTTGTCAACAAAATGTATTTGTTATAATAAATTATCAATTGGATTTGTTTGTAGAACCTCTTAAATAGTAGTTTGATTGAGAAATAACTCAACGTATAACCCATGAATTTGGAAAATCAATATAAATATTTTTCTTTATTCTTGATTTGTTTTTTGCTATATATTTCAGAGTACTTAAAATGGAAAAAATTGTCTTTATTCAATTCCCCAATTACCTTTCTAGAGTTATTTTCACCATCATCTAGTTGTAGACAACATATAAAATAGGTAAATCATATGGGTTCATGACTCCATATTAAAGAAATCATACTAATGGAAGTCAATCGTTCATATTAAAAATTATTTTAATGTGATTAAAGTTTTTACTATAATATTAAAGACATGCATGGTAGCACAATTTCCAATTTCTTTTTCAATTGAAGTTGTGCATTACAAGTATGATATCAATTGTTCCATTTTTGAACTGATATAATGCCGGGCAACTACGACTTCAATTATTTTAAAATTGTGCATGACAAACATGGTTTTACCTTTTTAAAAAACAACTAAATTTTTGTTTGAAATACTCGACTTCAATTTAAAAATAAAACAATTGAAACTGTGCTTACAATGCACAATTCCACTTTTAAAAGAAAAAAAAATAGAAATCGAAGACTTTAATATATTAGAAGAAAAGTAATCAAATTACGGTTCCCTACTTTTGTGTGAGAAAAGAAAATCTTGTACAATTTTTTTTGTCATACACTAAATATTTATTTTCAATATTTTCTTGTAGTATATATTATGATAAATTTTATAAATGTTAACTTATATAAATTTTGGTATGTTTAAGTTTCAACTCAAATACTAAAATGTTTTTGGAAAAATAATATACTAAAATGTTTTGGGAAAAAATGAACTTAGTGAAAATGAAGATTCACTTTAAACTTCAATTAACTTATAAACTACAATAAAAAAATATTTTTCAACTTTAAATAAATTTAACTCCAACTTATAACGAAAATCCAAACTTAATAATAGAGTGTAATAAGTGGCTGGGGATATCGAGGAAGTGTAGGTATCCACTTGAGGATGAAACGTCATTTTCTTATTTATTTAAGTAATTAATAAGTTGGTGTCGGCTGCTATTTTAGTAGAAAATATGAAAAATGGCGTTATTTTCTCAGCTTAAAGAGATCAGCTTCATTTTTTATACTAGCACATGGCACCCTTCTGCCATTAAAAGAAAGGTTTGCTTTCCAAGTAAAAAGTAGCAGAGGAAAATAAATAAAAAATGTTTTTTTTTACAATTTTTTTACAACGTGAAGACTCATTATTATTGGTCTGTTTTAAATATTTTTTTTAAAATAAATTCAAATAAGTCAATAAAATAGTTACGTATTGTTAATCTATATATCATAGTCTAAATAAACAAAGGTTAGAAGTTTTATTCTTTTCGTGGTGTAGTACTATATTACAAAGACAAGCTAACTTCACGATTACAAGATCTATATTTCATAACATTAAAGAGATTATATAAAATAAGAAACAAGAAAATACAGTACAAAATCAAGGGAACAAGTACAACTCAAGCATGTATATGTAGGATGTTCAGTCTTTCAGCTCTGTGTGTGACATTGAAGATGACCTCGACAATGCAAGCTCGTTGGTTACGAGCTTCATGGTTGGTCGGGATCGTGGACTTTCAGTCAGGCAAGAAATTGCTGTCTTGAGAATTGATACCACCTCTTTCAAAGTAGAATTTGTTGGAACAGGTAGACGTTCATCCAAGTTATCCATCAATGCCATATGATCAAGCGTTGAGATCATACCAGTTGATAAAGAAGATTGCATTAAAGATGTAACATCACCAGGGTGCCTTCCAAATAATATTTCCAATGCCAAGACCCCAAAACTATACACGTCACATTTCTCGTTTACTTCCATTGTGTATGCAAGTTCTGTATAAAATTAAAAATATTTTGTAAATCATCAACAAACACAATCTGAAATATCATGATATATACTCAATATAGAAAGGAAACTAACCTGGAGCAGCATATCCAAAGGTTCCTGCAAATGATGTCCAATTGGCTGAACTATGATCAAGAAGCTTAGCTGTTCCGAAGTCTGAGACATGAGCTACATATTCTGAATCCAAAAGAACATTTTTGCTTGATATATCACGATGGACAATTGGAGGTAAGCAATCATGGTGCATATAGCATAAAGCATTTGCCACGTCTTTAACAGCATCCACCCTTTTATTCCAATCAAATGCAGATGCTTGTTCATCATCTTTCAAAATCTTCTTCACATCGCCCCTCTCTAGGAATTCGCACACCAAAAGTGAATATTGTGAATGCGAACAAAACCCATGAAACTTTACAATGTTACGATGTCGGATTTCTGTCAAAGCCTGGATCTCCCTTGTGAAAGCTTTCTGATTGAGGACTTCTCCGTTTGAAACTGAATGGAGTTTCTTCACAGCAACAACTTCACCTGTGGGTAATATTGCTTTGTAAACACGACCTTGACCTCCAACTCCAATGAGATATTTGTCATCAAAATATTCGGTGGCTTCAATAATATTCTCAAACATAATTTTGCCTCCGAAACTCCATGCTGGAAACATGCTGGCAGATCGTGAACTTAGAGCCTTCTCTTGTTCTTCGTTTGAAGTTCGGCATAAATTGTAGGAGACACCAAAAAGAAATAGTGCAAGCATTAGAATGGCCACAGTAACGGGTAAAACTGCTATTAGCACTTTCCTTGTAGTATTATTATGAGATTTCCCACTTACTTTCGGGCAAGGCTCCAAGCCTGTGACATTGCCACACAGGCCTGTATTATTTCTCAGAGCTTCAATGGTGGCATTCTGGAAGACTGGAATGTCAGGAAGTGGACCCTCAAACTGGTTGTATGATATGTCAAAAGATGTCAAACTCATCATATCATGTAAGCTAGAGAGACCACCTGAAAGACTATTGTGGGATAGATTCAATGTTTCTAAGCCTTTTATTCCACCAAGCGTTGGTGGTAATCTTTCACTCAACAAATTTCCACTGAGATCAAGACTTGAGAGATAATTCAAATTGCCAAGCTCTGAAGGAATATTTCCCTCAAATTTATTCTGGCTCAGATTCAAGTACAATAAATTGCGCAAATTTCCAATTTTTTTCTGGATTAAGCCTGTGAAATCATTTGACCCGAGCTCCAAAATTTTAAGTGCCTCCAGTGATTCTATTTTCGAGGGAACATTTCCAGAAAGATTATTGTTGTTGATTGAAAGATCAAACAAGAGGGTCAAGTTGCATAAATCTTCTGGAATGTTTCCTGTAAGATG